ACACCGCAGCGACAGAAGCTACATTTGTCACAGGGCAGCTAACTGCCTTAAAGGACAAGTTCAATATTCTGGGAAGAACAGTTGTTCACTTCCTCTTATATCAGTACAGTAAACAATGAGACTGTGGTATACAAACAGACAATGGTGTGGCCAAAGCTACGGGAAGTTATGGGTCCAGGCCAAGAAATAGTTCAGCACATAACATCTGTTCAGCGGCTAATTGCTGTTTTTACTCTCCATTTTTTTGTTCTGGTTAACAAAGCAAAATTAGGGCTGAGAGATGAGATATGAGATTAGATACATTCATTATTTTTTTGTCATGACCGCTTATCCTGTCGGGTGTGTTGAAGCCTATCCCAGCTGACATTGGGCAAGAGGCAGGGTGCACCCTGAACAGCTCGCCAGACTATCACAGGGCTGACACATAGAGACAGACATTCACATTCACACCTAGGGTCAATTTAGAGTCACCAGTTAACCAAACCTGCATGTCTCTGGATAGTGGGAGGAAGCCGGAGTACCCGGAGAAAACCTACGCTGGAGTTCGAACCAGGAAACCTTTTGCTGTGAGGCGGCAATGCTAACCACTGCACCACCATGCTGCTAGATATGATAGATATATTCCTAGATTTTTGATATCATAATACTGGAAGAGTTGTCTTTACTGGTTTTAAAAGGTGGCATTACAGAAAAATGATCCAAACTGTTGGAGTTGTTCTACTATTCGCCTTTACCCACTTAGTCATTACATCCACACTACTGCAAAACTGACAATATGGTCGCAATATCAATATCGAGGTGTTAGGTCAAAAATATTTTGATAATTGATTTTTCCATACTGTTTAGCCTGAGGTGAACTATGATGTGAAAATCTGTGAGCTTTAGAGGTGCCAGTAGGTGCAATTTGTTGCCTTTGGACAGACGCAACCAAATGGTGTCCACCTTGTTTACAGTGTTTTAGCTAAGCTAAGCGCCTGCTTATTCCAGCCTTATCTGTACCATACAGACATCACGGTGGTATCAAACTCTCTGCAGGAAAGCAAATAAGCATGCCTCCCAAGAATAAGGGGCCGATCACAGCTACAGGTGGCCCTAGAAAGGCAGACGCTCCAAAGACGCTTGAAATGCCTGAAATGCCCTTTCAATGAGCGCTCCTTATGAGGAGCACCTGTAGAGCGGGGTTGCGTGCGCAACCGGGCGATCAAAACATTGAAAATTACCCAAGATGGAGGAGGGCACTTGCCATTGCTCTGCTGGTGGTGCTACTGGCGCCTGACGCCCAAAAGTTGAGATTAATTCAACTTTCAGCGTCTACAAACGTGCATCTAAAAAAAAACGCGAGTCTAAAAAGACGCCAGAAAGACGCTCATCATCAAAAGTGCTTGAAAACCAGTCAGACGCGCCATACCATAGGGAATCAATTGTTTTACTGGCGTCTCATTTCTAGCGCTCCTTGTAGGTGTGATCGCCCCCTAACTTTTCCTTGACAGGTACAGTGTGTAAGAGTTAGGGGGATTTAGTGCCATCTAGCGATGAGGATTGCAGACTGCAACTAGCTGAAACTTCAGTTAAAATTGCTTCTGTTTTCATTGTTCTAGAAGTTTTAACCATGAGCTGAGTTATCTGCAGCGGTCCCTATCTCTCCAAAATAAATGGACCAGGTGATTTAAACAAGTGACAATACTGAATAAAGCAGTTTCATGTTACAAATCAGTGTTTCTCCTATGCTGTTTGGCACGTCGCAGATAGGCCTCTAGCCTAGCACCTGCTAATGTACGCTCACCTAATTTCTGATCCAGAGTTTCGGGAGGTTTTTACCTTGAGCCAAATTATCTGCAGAGGTCTCCTCCTCTCCAAAACAAACAGACCTGGTGATCTAAACCAGAAAAAAACAGGGTTTCTCCAATGCTGTTTGGCATGTCAGAGACAGACTGCTAGCCCCAGCACCTGCTAATCTGTGCTCACCTTTTTTCTCTGATAACTTAAGATCCAGACGTTCAGCAGTTGTTGTTTTTTTTACCAGTAACTGAATTATCTGCAGAGGTCTGTTCCTCTCCAAAACAAATGGACCCAATGATTTAAACCGGTAAAAATACTGAATAAAGCAGTTTATTTATTTTTTTTTCAATGCTCTTGTCATGGAGGAACTGCTAACTATGGTGGGCAATGTGAAAATGCGAATGGCTCTATCTAGAGCCAGTGTCTGGTTTATCCATTCTGGGCTACTATAAAAATATGGAGGTGCAATATGGCGACTTCCATAGACAAGTGCCCGCTCCCTATGTAGGTAGAAATGGCTCATTCTAAGGTAACCAAAACACATAAGATAACATACGCACTATATTTTATTCCATTTCTGCCAATATATCCCCCTAAATCCTACACACTAGACCTTTAAATTCCATATCTAAGGAAGAGAAAAAGGACTTACATACATCATTTTCTTTCAGTCACTGTTCATGGTTGTTTTCTTCCATAACCAGTTTGTATTATACTCCACATCGCTTCTTGTTTTTGTCTCCTTTAACCACTATTTTTCTGCTCAATATGCTTTTGCAACCCAGATATATTTACTTGTCACATCAATAAGGAAAACTGAAAGTGAAACTGAGAGAATGTGTGTGAGGGGTGGGGGGGGGGGGGGGGGGGGGGGGGGGGGGGAATCACAGGAGAGTGCTCTTAATCAAATCTGACAAAAGAAGTGAGCTTCAGCTGTGGGGCTCAGGTGGATCTCTGGAGTCCACACACTCTTTCTGTTTTCTCTATTTTAATTCTTCAGTACATCCATCTATCCCTCCGTCCATTCTCCATCTTTACATTTCACTCCTCTTATCTCAATGCCTCGGCCCTGATGCACACACACATGCACACAACATACATGTTCAGGCGTGGCTACTGTGTTCAGTCCCCAGCTGTGGCATCTAAAACCTTTAAGATCCCTTGGAAACATTTTCTGTCTCCTTCTCTCCTCCTGCTCTTCCTGCAACCCCACACCTACCCTACACACACACACACACACACACACACACACACACACACACACACACACACACACCAACTCACTGCCCTGTCTCTCAGCATCAGCATCACTGTGAAGTGAAAAGGCCAGCATCCCCATGAGATGTGGTCTTTGTTGATGTTGTTGTTTTGAAACGTGGGGATCTGGGATATTGGTTGGGGCATCGTCGACAATTTGAAAGCCACAGTGAGATAACCACAGAGAACCAGAGCCGTCGCAGTAGTTGCGGGCCGCTGCCTCTGCTTATGCTGCTACAAACACAGTGAAGTATACACTTCCTGCTTTCGCCCAGCTCAGATTATTCTCCTCTCTGCTCTCCTTACTGCCTGGCAGGCACAGATGCAGGTCTGATTTTCTGTCCAGACAAAACCATGTTGCCATTTCATCAAATCACTGCTTCTGGGTTCAACTGGACCAAATGAAGAGTGGCGTATCTTCTGTACAAAGCAGACATCTCTCTTGGAGCAACCTCAGATACTCGAATAATTACCTCTACCCGACATGCATCTTTAAAAACCTGAGGAAGCACGCTGAGCATGCTCATCAGCGATGCCCTGTTTCACACGTTCACAGCTGGGAGCTGCCAGGTACAGCTCCAGCCTGCTACTGTTGCACCACTGAGCCGCTCTAATGCCGTTATTGCTGATTAATTGCCTTGCTGAAGGGCAGCATGTCAAGGGAAAGAAGAAGAGGTTCATATTTACACCACACAGCCAGATTTCTCCAGTGTTTCTCCACAGCCACAATCTCACCTGCTCCTCTACAACCGCCAGGCAACTCCTTCATTCATTAGTGCTAAATTTGCACTTAACTGCCCATCAGCTTACTCAAGCCTTCATATACTCAAACCCATCTGAGACCCTGGCTCAATACCTGACCTCTGAGCGGCAACCAGGGAGAGGGGGGCCCACTCTCATGGGAAATTAGAAATGGATTCAGCAGGCGATGGTGCTTGGTTTTTGGTTTGGACCAGATGGGAGATGAAAATGTTTTTTGTCAGCGAGGCTTGCAGTCGCTGCATACAGAAGATGACCACCCGGGGCAGGGTGATTCACATGCGGCGAGGTGGCATGGAGCAGGGCTTTTCTGTGGGCTGGAAGATGTAGCAGCGGCCATCCGCTCAGGTGTTTGGGGAGGGGAATGGGGACGTGTGATGGTGTGAAAATTAAGAACTAGCCCGTAGAATATGGCTCAATTAGTGGACACTAAACAAACCTTATAATACCATGGACTCAGTGAACGACAGGCAGCCAAACCCTAAATCCTGGCAGTGTTAGTGCAACATCAATCCACTGAGGCAGTAAGAACTTAAAGGATTTGAAGTCTAAATAGTTTTAAATGTTATAAGCTTGGCCTCAAGTCCTGTGCCATGAGGTCACAGACTCATTATGAGACAATGGGCCCGTGGGCACAGGAATGTTAACGTCCCAAAAACAATCGCACACACAGAGAAAACTCAAAGTGAAAGTGGTGGGAAAGTGGTTATGTTTTCGCATCTCTTTGTGGCCGTTTGGTGTCTCTTTCAGTGACATTTCACCCCCTGACCCCTTGAGTCCATGGGCCTGCGCCCAATAGGCCCGTTCCGTAACCCATCCATGATCCTGGTACCCTATTATTACATTCAATCTCACATACCCAGGACCCCCGAAACACCACAGCACAGTATAATACGAGATGGCATCAGCTATACTCTACCTCCAGTCTCACCAGTAGTAAAGGGCCATCTGGTTCCACCCATGTATTTCCTAATTTCACCAGAAGCCACTTCATCAACCTCACACACACACACACACACAAATACACCCCATTCTCTACATTGCAGTCTTAAACTGTACGTGCAATGGCCAGGGTCTTCACGTCACAAGCCTTCCTGCCCCCCCCCCCCACCCATCCCTGCCCAACCTCCATATCCCGGAGTAAAAAACACACACACACACACACACACACACACACACATGCAAAGCAGAGCATCTCCTCTTACCCATCTGTGCCTGTGTCGGATGTCTTTCAGAGGTTCATGGTGGATGCGAGCCCTGCTGGTCTGAGTCTAGTCTGGTAGTCTTGCAGCAGAAACCGCTATGCCATCGCATTGGTGATGCTGGAGTCTCGGTAGTAGCCGGCGGCCGGGGTCTCTCTCTGTCTCAGTGTGTGTGTGTGTGTGCTTCAGCCGGGTTACTCTATGGTCATCTCGTAGTGTTTACCCCCTCCTTTGGGTTTATCCACCGAATCGCCTGCGCCGATGATCGTCCCGTGCACCACCTCCAGTGGATCCTGTCGGCGGTGGTGATGGCACAGCCTCCTCTCTTGCCTCTGGTGTTTATCCTCTGACAGACCGAGCAGAGGTTTTGTCCAGAGAGGATTAAAATAAAGAGAAAACAGAAAACACCGCTCCGCTCCGGTGCGCAAAGGGATGAGCCGAACGGCGCAGACAAGGATGGAGATGGAGAGATGAGGAGGGTTGGCGGTGGGGGGTGATCGCCGCTCTCTGCCGTCCTATTCGCCGTTTTCTGTCGTGTTTACGACCCGCTGTCGCCTCCTCCCACCGTCTTCTCTATCTCCCCCTCACCGTGATGCGTCTCCCTCTCTTCCGTCCTCCGTGCTGCGCTCTGCACCCGCTGTGACGCTTTTTCCGCTCGTAAGAAAATAGGACCCCCCCCCCTCTTTCACTTCTTCATCATCTAACCCCTCTTCTCCCTTTCGATCAGACAGGCAAGAAGGAGGTGGAGACGAGTGTGTGTGTGGGGGCAAGTGAAAGAAAAAGAAGGCAGTGGAAGGAGGAGTCCCGCGAGAAGAGAGCTCCTCCCCGTTATGCTGCTTATCAGTGGAGGACGAGGGGGGCGCCCATCATGTAGGGAGATATAAGGGAGGAAATATGAGCGGGGGGGTGTTGGTGGTGGTGAACTTGCACAGAGGCTTGAGCAGAGACGACTGCTATTATTATTACTGCTACTTCTGCTGTGGTACTGTGAGGTGTCCTGCACCCTAAATATATCCAACCCCATACAAGTTCTGCAAAAACTAAAACATGACTTTAAGTCAGTGACCACAGCAGAGCCCCCGTGAGGCTGTAATGCACATTGCATGTCACAAAAAAAATGCATGGATAAAATATGAAGACTATTTAAAGACATACCATAGTGGGTCAAAGAATGTAAAGTTTGGCCTGAGGGTGGCGCCAGAGAAACGCCTATATTGTGACATAGAGGAATAATTAGACATTTTGGCAAATGCGCAAACTGTTTTCTGAGGAGACCCTGAGGCCCCTAAAGGTGACATGATTTGATCTTTTGCGCACAAGATAATTATCTTGTAGGAACAAACTGTCTTGTGCCCACGAGATAATAAAATGTACATTCAAGGAAAAAACTTGTTCCCACAAGATAATTAACTTGTTCCTTCAAGATAGTCATGTTGAAGACACAAGATAGAAGTTGTTCGCACATGATAATTAACTTGTAGGCACAAGATAAACAAGTTGTTCCCACAAGATCATTTACATGTGTGGACGAGATATTAGTTTGTTCTCACAAGATAATTAACTTGTGTAGACAAGACAATAACTTGTTCCCACAAGAAAATTATCTTGTACACACAAAATAAATAAGTTGCTCCAACAAAAATATTAACTTGTTCCTATAAGATGATTATATTGTATGTGCAATATAAATAAGTTATTCCCACAAGATAAATAGGTTGTTCCCACAAGATGATCATCTTGTTCCCACAAGATACTTATCTTGTACACACAAAATAATAAGTTGTTCCCTCGACATAATAATTTGTTCCAACAAGATAACTTGTTCCTATAAGATGATTATCTTGTATGTGCAACATAAATAAGTTGTTCCCACAAGATAATTATCTTGTACACATGAGATAAGTTGTTCCCACAAGATCTTGTGCGCACAAGATAAATAAGTTGTTCCAACAAGATCTTGTGTGCACAAGATAAATAAGTTGTTCCCACAAGATGATTATTTTGTGCAGACAAGATGAATAACTTGTTCCCACAAGATTATTAACTTGTGTGGACAAGATAATAAGTTGTTCCCACAAGATGATTCTCTTGTTAGCACAAGATTAGTTGTTCCGACAATAATAATGGCTTGTTCCCATAAGATCTTTTGTTGCACACAAGAAAAAGTATTTGTTCCCACAAGATAATTATCTTGCAAACACAAAATAATAAGTTGTTCCAACAAGATAATAATTTGTTCCTAGAAGATGATTATCTTGTATGTGCAATATAAATAAGTTGTTCCCACAAGAATTTTTTCCCCCATCAAAGGGGTTTTCTGGGGGAGTTTTTCCCTTATCCGCTGCGAGGATCCTAAGGACAGAGGGATGTTTTATGTTGTAAAGCCCTGTGATATTGGGCTTTATAAATAAAACTGATTGATTGATTCATAATTATCTTGTACACATAAGATAAATAAGTTGTTCCCACAAGATGATTATTTTGTGCGCACAAGGTAAATAACTTGTTCCCACAAGATTAAATTGTGTGGACAAGATAATCATTTGTTCCCACAAGATGATTTTCTTGTACACACAAGATAAGTAAGTTGTTCCCACAAGACGATTCTCACAAGATTAGTTGTTGCCACAGTAATAATTACTTGTTCCCATAAGATGTTATCTTGTACATACAAAAAAAGTATTTGTTCCTACAAGACATAACTTGTTCCCACAAGATAATCATCTTGTACACACAAGATAATAAGTTGTTCCCACAAGATAATGACCTAATAACTATCTACAAATTATCTTGTGTGCACAAGATCATTTGTTCCCACAAGATATAAGTTGTGCGCACAAGATATTAACTTTTGTACACAAGATAAAAAAAATGTCATCTTTCGGGACTGTGGGGCTCTGTAGTATTCACTGTGCAGGTAGGAGAAGTCTTGGGAGTCCTGGTTTGAATTAAAAGTATTTGACTCCTGTCGGAAAGGGCTTTCTGAGAGAAAGCCTACCAGGAAAAACTCCACTGTACATTTACTCCCTGTCTGTCTGTCTTAAAATGGAGCCAGAATCCAGTTAGCTTAGTTGAATTGGTTTATGTGATTAAAACATTTTACCTCACTTGTTTATTTTATACAAAAAAAACAAGGCTGAACCACAAATTGCTGTTAAGTGGTAATTAGTGAACTAGTGGCTGCCACCTGTTTCCCCTGTTTCCTGTCACTATGCTAAGGTGTGGTACCTGGCTGATCATTACCCCAACACACCTTTAAACATATTGACTGAGTGCATTTATAACCGTAACGGACATCAATTTTCTCATTTAACTCTCTGTAATATGAGATGAGTGGCAGAGATTCCCACATTTACAACTCGTGATTCATGTCATACGGCAACTCGTGGTTGTGTGACTGCAGATCAGGTCATGACAGGCTGAAAATATCGTGCATGGTCAGTATGACACTGTTTCCTGGATAAACCTGAACATGTTAAATGTAGCACAATAAAAACCTGGATACTGGGACAACCATATCCAATTTACTAACCATTGAGTGCAATGTGTGCATGTCCTGCCTAAACTTAAAGGTTGAGTGTGTAGCATTCAGTAGCATCTAGCAGTTTGCCAGTTCTTGGCTACATGGCTGACTCAGTGATAACAGGACACCCGACTCTCGTGTCCGTGTCGCAGCCGTGCCGCGCCACCGGATATAGCAGCTTGCAGTGGAAGAGGACCCGTGCAACTGCAGATATAAACTGCTCATTCTAAGGTAACAAAAACACAGTGATTCTTAGTTTCAGGTGATTAGAAACATATTTCTGAATTCTACACACTGGACCTTTAAGTTAGCCAGTAAAACAAACAATATGGTCGATGTCATGGTGAAATGAAAATAAAAGTCTGACAGTGGCAATGTGGTTGTTTCATTGCGCTCACCTTCCATCACAGATGATTAAAGAGAGAAGCTAAATGCAGCACAGTGTTAAGTACAGAGTCCAGACCAAAACCAAACTGAGTTTATCCTCAATTGTTGGTTGAACTCAGTCCATCCAGAAATTACAGACTTGCTGGATGTGAAGAATAAAGACCTGCCTGCACCACTACAGAGAAAAAGTAAACTTGCATTATGTCATCATGCATGAAGGGATATGCACAACCAGGTTTCTCTATGTACAATGTAAATGTTACATCCTGAATATACTGAAGTACAACTGTGCATGATGTAAACATAGAAAAGTAGAAAAGCGCAATACAAATGCAGCCCTCTTACATTTACTCATCATAGGACTTGATTTACCTTTTTTCAGTTTACGTTTTGTCACCATCATGATACACAAATCAACAGCATGTACAGACTGGCTTAGTTCTGCTGAACGAGGAGGACTGCTATACAAGCAGGGGCCCAGCTGAACATTACAGATAACACAACTCCTGAGCACAAACACACACCAGACACAGAAAGCAAAAACATGCACTTGTCCCCATCACGCCATCGTCTTACTACCAGGGTTCAAGAAAACTGATAGATGCCAGATGTGCGTGTCAATTTTCTTACCAAATTAAATGATAACCTATGCAATAATAAGAGGTGTAACCAAAACCAAAAACTCAAAAGGTCAGGCGACTGCAATCCTTAGAGCTGTACTGACTCTACCTCATTGGTTTAATCAATTAACCAATACAACACTCAGTGAAAACATATTTGTGTGGGCTGAAAATTAAGACGTTATTTTACATTTTAATCCGACATGACTATGTCAACTCAACAGTTCTGTCGGTGGTGGAAGTACTCAAATATTAAGTACGCTTATCACAGTAAAAGTCCTGCATGAAGAAAAGCACTGGTGCAAAATACATATACTCATGATGAGACTATTTCCTTTCAGTCGTAGTCACTGATGCATCACCCTGTAATCAGTACTTTATTGTTCAATTTGTCAAACAACTCATTACCCTGGTATGCACTCTGGGACATTACAAGTCAAGTTGTGACAGTTACTATACATCAAGCACAGGCAACCATACATTCTGCAAGAATAAACTGTATTTCTAACTGCATTTACTGTCAATGGATTTTAGAAATGTTCCATTACCCCCCATTGGTTAGTTTATACTCTTGAGTTTCTTTTAAAATCAAGCATGAGATCTCAAACCACCAACACACCTTTTACCCTCAGGTGATCTGAATGAAGTAACACATGTAATACACTCTGGAATGAGCTGTATGTGTGTCGACAAGCATGGATGGACACCCACACCATGTTGTTGCATGTGGTTTTCTTTACAGTAACCTTTCAACTTATGGTAAGGCTGATGGAACCATGGCAACTGATTTCCATATGGTTTGAATGCATGTGGTGCTACATGTGCATGTTTAAATGAGGGCAAAGTATTGCACCTTTATGCTTTGACAAACAAACGTGTCCAAAAACTGTTAAGTACTGTTGACTGTCTGGTCAAATTCATAATCTTGCCAATTGATTGATGAGATAATCCTGATTTAAAGCAGCTACAAGGTGTTTATTTTGAGAGGCCCTTGTGGACAAAAGCCTTATTGTTTCCATGAACACCATTTCCTTGTGTCATAAAGATCTCGATCTGGCCTGTGGGTGCATTTGTTTATTTTGGAAGTGAGTGAAACACTGACTCATCTTATGTTTAATACTGCTTTTCTTGTTTCAGCAGCTGTTTGCAGGATGCATAGCCGCAAGTTATTCTATCTGTTTGTGGCTACATAAGATTAATAACCGCAATATAACAATAGTGAAACAA